ATCTTAGTTGGAAAAAATTGTTCTAAACTTGTGATGGAATTGATGGCATTAGCAAGGGATAACAAAGACTGAAATACATTTTTCAACAGGCAAACTTATCTTGTACAAATCAAATGACAATTGACAAGAAATACCCTCAAAGAGAGAAGTTTGTAGAAAGAAATATATTTAATCGCAGCTTGTAGATTTTTAAGGTTCTTATTAAACATTTTGAAAGAAAGACATCTCTTTCTTTTGAGACAAATGCTACAGCAAACCTTGTGATGTCGGATTAAAGGATTAAAGAAAGTCAAAAAACGAACTCTAATTATTTAGTTCAAATTAAATTTGAGTCTAATTAGTTTCGTTTTCCGTCAAACAGAAAAATTGTTAAAAAGAATTAATTGATTATTTAAATTGAAAGCAACTTCTCACGATTGATGAATAATACATTATATAGCATAACATCATTATATTGATTTTGACTTTAACTGTAATTTGATGTTTAAGTTTCTCTCTATTAACCTCAAGACACGCGATAGATACATTACATATATCATCAGTGTGAGACGTGATATATTATCATTTATAAACATATATGTATTTTATTTATGCATTTTGCCTATTTTGACTTATTTTTTCAAACACATATTGTTAGATCGGTTATGATATTGTGAAAACCAAATTTGAGTGATGTGAGGGTGCTATTTATTACTCTCAGATCACAATAAACAAAATATATTTTCAAATTGAAACTAAGGTGTATGAACCATCTTAAATTCTCAAAACATTATGTCTGTTAAAAATGTCTTTGGCTAGAATGAATAAAATGAATAACGCAATTATCAATTTAAGATAAAGTTAAAATACAACTTCAAAATTTTTATTTTCGATTATAAAACCAATATACTCTATAATCTAAACATATCTCAAAATAAAGGTGATTGTTAAAGGGACTGTTAAGATATAGTGTAACTAATACAATTAAGGTAAGTTATGTTAGGCAGAAGTGGCGGCCTCGAACACCAAAACTCACTTGGGCATAAATAATATACATTTATTATACCACTAAACTTTGTATAGTATAACTTTTATAATAAACGAACTCACTAAAAGATTTTTCCCAATGTTCTTATTTGAGCAGGTTTAATTCCTGCTACTTGCAATCTAAAAATGACAAATGGACAATTAGACTAAAATATTTTCAAAGACTGATCATGAAAATGTGTGTGTATTCTAATCACTTAATTAAATATATATTTTTAAATTTAAAAATTTTTTTCACTATGTGCTCTTAATCAATTTATGATTTCACATAAATCATAAATCTCACAATTCCAGTGTTCGTTCGATATACAAGTCGGTAGCAAGAACAGTTTATTATCATGGTTTAACATTTTAACAAACTCATTGCGAGGGAATTACATGTGCTACCATCACAAACATAACAACTCTTCATAAGATTCATTTGTGATATTTAGCTTAATAATCGAAACGTGTTCTTTATAGGCAGTAAAATCTTTCCTTTTCTAGCCACATTACTCCAAATGACACCAGTAATCATTTTTTACAACAAAACTTGTACTAGTGTTTAATTTATTAGCGTAGTATTAGAAAAATATTGTTTAGAATATAAAAAAATCAATATGACTATTATTACTATTATGAGAGTGATATATATTCTTTGTAGCATTACAGTACTACAGCTATTTTGCCGAGCCACAACCGGACATAAATTCATTATATATTATCTTTTAAAGAAAAAGGCGGTGAGATGGCCATGGATATAGAAATATACTTTCTAACCAAATTTACAAAGATTTTGATCACACAACAATAACAGCTATCATTAAAATACAATTTGATAAATTTTATTGAAATTTTTTCATCTTCAACGTTTTTCCACAACATAGTATAAGAGATTGTGATGTATAATTAAATCCCTTTTGAAATGGAAACCACTGTAAGACACACTTGCAGTAAATGTGTAGAGCATAGGCAATAACTGACATAAGAGCACACACCTTATTTATGCGTATCTTGCTTTCAAGAGAATAAGAAGAAAAAGCATCACGGTCTCGGAGAATAATATCATCATCTAAAATCGCAACGATCTATCCGCAGTCATCCTCTTACCAATAAAATATAAACGAATGATGTACTATCTTCTTGTAAATGTTATTTAAATATCTAGTTCTGCCTAGCTATTAGTCTGTGATTGCCTCTAGTATCAATCAGTGTGTCATTAATAAAATTGAAATGAAAATCATGAATCTACTTTTAGTTGATACTCGTACATGAAATCCAATACGAAATTCGATCGCGCAAAAATAATTTATATATTATTAGGTATAATGATGCAACTCAATTGGTGACATGATTAAAACGCCAATATAATTGTGTGCTCTATTATTAACTGTTTTGGATATATATTTAAGTGCTGTTGAATAGCGCAAATATTACTCAACTTGTTCTTTGTTAAGATCGGGACTGCCCAGACCAGATACGATCACGGGCGAATATATGTGTCACTGTGTAACGTGGTTAAGATTATTGATTTTGAATTAATGCTTTAGTCTTTAGCAATATTTACTAATATTACTAATAATTTACTAGTGGAACAAGATAATAGGTACATTTACTAATATTACTAATAATTTTCTAGTGGAGCAAGATAATACATTGACGTATTTAAAAACTTTATATAAAAGTTTTAAGCCTGATCTTAACAATAAGAGAACAATAATATACATATACAAATGTACATCTAAAAATGTTGTAACACAATTTTTTCGATACAAACTGGCAATATTGTCGTACCACAAAAATTTGCTATAGCTGCTTTTGCAATTTGGTCAACAACATATGCCATACCGGAAGTGGCAAGCTAGCGGGCAGGCAAGCCGGCAAGCAGGCGAGGAGTATAAAAATCATGAAAGAGTCATAAAAAAAGGGCGAAAATATTGGCAACATAAAAAAAATTGATATGAAATATTGTAAGCGAATGATTGCAATAAATGTACAACAGATATAAACATAAAATATAACATAAACTACATAAAATATATGAGGACTTAGTACAGAACTGTAATGCTGCATAAGTATGAATGCCTGTAGATCTGTGTGTCCGCCTGCCTGCCTGCCTGGCTGTCTGCCTGCACTGAAGTTGTGTGTAGAAAATTGAAATTCATGAAATTGACACAAAATCAATTCGTAATTTTTTATTTGCCTTTTCGTGGTTGAAGCAATAGAACACAGACTTTAGATATAAGAACATTTACACACATACGAGTACAGATATATATAGATATAAATATAGATGTAGATATACTCGCACATACGTGCAATATTAAAAACGTGCATCCAATAAGTTTTAGCAAATTGCAAAATAGAAAAACCAAACCAAAAGCGTTTGTTGCATGCAACAGTCCATTGATTTTGTTGTTTGTTGTTTGTTGCTTGTTGTATTCTGTTTATTCAAATTTTATATTTGCAAGTATTACAACAGCAATTTCCGGTCAAAGGCGGAAGTGCAGCCTTTTTAAAAATTTACACTGCTATAGGAGCAAATATTTTAGTAGTTCTACGGAACTACATATTTGCATATGTACATACGCAGTTTTTCCTCCTCTGTTGTTTACATATATAAATATTTTTTTACACAGTATATATAATGACAATTTAACTAAAAAACTAAAAAACTGTGTTATTTAAATTCTGATTTACGGGTTTTCTTTAATAGATACTTCATATGTTGATCGACAAACACAGAAATTATATCTTTCATCTTAGGTATATCTTTTATCTATTTTTATCGTTAGTTCTGCTTTAAATGTTTTTGAATTTTTCGTATTATTTCACATAATTAATTTTATGAAATAAAATTAATATGCAAAAATCAAAAGTGATATCTGAATTATAGTGAAGACATTAGACTAATCGTATTAAATATTTCATTTCCGTTAGCATCTGAAATTTGTAAATATTCATATAAATTCCATAATTTAATTCTAATGACAGTGCTAACAACTTTCCGTCGCATTGCACAACTAACATTCCATCACTTATCTCGATGTTACGCAAATGTATTTTTCTATATCTTTATTCAATTTCATACAAATTTGTTGATTTATTTAAATAATTCTGAAATTGTTCATACCATAGTTGTAGAAAGACATCTAATGTATGAATATCATCTTTCTAAATGAATTACACAAATGTTGAATTTTGTGTCTTATTTGTAAATATAAACTAGATGCAATACTCCAACAAAATTAGAAAAAAAATGACTGTATGGAAGTTTAAATACCCTTCCCGCACACTTATTATGGCATTCATTTTATATTTGTTTAATGTTTTAAATTATTATTATATTACTCAATAAGTCGTACGACTGACACACAGATGGCGTTGCCATTGTCAAATCCATATGACGTTTATGAAGTACAAGTACCAACCTTCAAAAGACTATGTGTAAAATTTCATGAGATTTCGATTAGTCAGGAAAAAGTGACAGCCATTTAAGTGAAGCTACTTTTGTTATTTTCTAAACAATGGATTCAAAACAATTTCGTGTGTTAATTTATTATTGCTTCTTGATGAAAAAAAAATACTGTACAAGCTCAGCAATGACTTCAAAAGTGTTATCCGGACTCTGTTCCATCGAAAAGAAACATTTGTTATTGGTTTGCTGAATTTAAACGTGGTCGTACAGACACCGATGATGGTGAACGTTCTAGTCGTCCAATTGAGGTGGTCACTCCAGAAAACATCAAAAAAGTCCAGAAATTGGTTGTATCTGATCGTTAATTGAAATTGCTTTAGATAGCCGAGAACGTAAAGATATCAGAAGGCAGTGTGTTTACAATTATGCATGAAGATTTGACCATGAGAAAGCTCTTTTCAAAGTGGGTGCGCGTTTACTCACAGTCGATCAAAAACAACAACGTGTGGATGATTTAGAGCAGTGATGGGCCATGTTTACACTTAATAAATCAAATTTTTTGCGTCAATATGTGACAATGGATGATACATGGATACATCACTTCACTCCGAAATCAAAACGATCATCATCTGAATGGACTGCAGCCGGTGAACCACATCAAAAGCGTCCAAAGGCACAACAGTCAGCTGGGAAGGTTATGGTTTCTGTATTTTGGGATGCACATAGTATAATCTTCATTGACTATCTCGAAAAAGGAAAAACCATCAATAGTAACTATTACATGGCATTATTGAATCGTTTGGCGAAGAAAAATATATTGTTTCACCAAGACAATGCACCATGTCCCAAGTCAATAAAAACGATGGCAAAATTTCACGAATTACACTTCAAATTGCTTCCTCATTCACCGTATAGTCCAGATCTGGCTCCCAGCGGCTACTGGCTATTCGCTGATCTCAAAAAAATGCTCGCCGATAAGAAATTCATCTCAAATGTAGAAGTAATTGCTGAAACTGAAGTCTATTTTGAGGTTAAAGGCAAATCCTTTTACAAGCATGGCATCGAGAAGTTAGAGAAACGTTGGAATGATTGTATTGCCCTTGAAGGAGATTATATTAATGAGTAAAATCGATTTTTGGCAGAAAAAATTTGTTTTTATTAGTTAGTCAAACGATTTATTGAGTCATGTGTTAATTTGAGAGTGGAATTGAACGTATAGACTATGCTATTTTATTAATAGGTCTGTAATTGCTCCAGTGGCTGGCAAATCCATTCTCACTTATATATAAATTCGTTTTTCCACTCTTTCTAATTTCGATTTTTCGATTTTTCGATTTTTCGAACTTTCTATTTTTCTAATTTCGATTTAATGCATTAAAAAATTTTTACAGGATGTTATAGTAACTCTAGTATATAGTTATAGTAACTAGTAGTTTGTTATAGTATCTCAACCTGCAGAACGTTGTCAAAAACCTAGTGAGAATTTCATTTTTTTTTGTTCATTAGAAAATGTTGAGACTGCTTTGAATTGGTCGATGACTTTTTTAGCCTGTCTTTTTCTACAATAATTTTAAATTCAGATTCCCTTCAAAAGCTGAGTTTTTCGACTATATGCCACCTTGTCAAAATACAAAATCGCTCAGGTCCAATTAATTAAAGTTGGGTTTTTCGTTTAGCGAGACGATCGAATCTTTCTTTAGCATTACTCGTATAAAATCTTAATACACCATCATTGCAGTGTCGTAGTACATAAGATATCCATTATATGCCACCTTATCAAAATACATAATGGCTCAGGTCCAATTAATTAACGTTGTGTTTCCCGTTTAGTGAGGCGATTGGAACTTTCGTTATCTTTACTCTTATAAAAACTTAATATACCGTCTTTGCAGTGTCGTAGGGAATAAGATATCACTGTTTTAGCAGACACACGTACCACAATATATGCTTTCTTTAAGATTTTTATATACAAATGCTAACACTTGTATACTATATACGAGTACATTTAAATATTGTTAAGTTACATTATTGTGATGGAAGTAAATATATCAAATGCTTTTGACGCTGCCAGTATATGTGTTCACATAAGGCAGCAAATTACAAAAAGCTGTACGACAGTTTGTAAAATTACATTAGAGTTTTTCTCTTCATGTAACTTTTAGGTTTTATAACTTTGAAATGATTATGCAGATATAGTTGATTAACACAAAAATGAATTAAATTCCTAACATAAATTGGTAAATTTTGCAATTCTGCTATGAATTTAATTATGGAATGCTAAGATTTTGTTCTTGAAAGTTCGATGGTCCGCACCTTAAAAACAGGAATTAATGAGGCTTGGAAATTTTGCCTATAGTTAGGATTACAAAGATATTATCTATAAGATACTTTCATCTGATCAAACGAATGATTTCAATTGCAAAAATTAGCAATCATAAAAGTAGACGCAGTTAAAGAAGGACGTTCAAAATAGGAAGGTGAAATGAATCAATATTATTATTATAATTAATAATTCTTATTTATATATATTTTGTTGATTCTTACAAAATTAAAATTTTAATAGGAAGTTTTGTGACAGCTACCAATTAATTACGGCTTTACACTATCAGATTATTATCTGATTTTTGTCACTATCTGTGCACCTTGAAAAACCTTTAATTTGCTTTTCTTCACACAACACTCTGCAATTAAAGTTTTGGGAGCGTTTGAAGTGTTACTTATTGAAACGGCCATATATTTTTTGTGTGAAGTTATTTGTTATTGTTTTAAATAACAAAAAATTGTGGAATTTTAGAATCCATTCTCTTAAGCTCGATGTGACCACCTTTTGCCTTGACTATATCTTTCAAACGGTTAAAAAATGAGTTGCATAGTTCACGAAAGTTTCGATTTTCCCATATTTTGAACCATTTCTGAAGAATAAAACAATGGCTTCTTCTTCTTCAGTGCATCCATACAAACATATTTTTTAGTCCCCACCTTGTTCAGATGGAATAGTACATCTGACGAATTTGAAAGCTATTGTGTGGACGAAATGAAGTGTGGAACATGATTTTTTAACCATTCTTGGTGCGCACGAGCTTTATGAGACCAAAACCGGTGCCGCGTCTTGTTAAAACATCCATGGTTTACGACCGAAATGTTTGCATGCTCTCGGCTTTAAAGCAACTTCCAAAACATTTTGCTAATAATAAATCGCATTGAGTTTTACACCAGGCGTTTTTTTTTTAATTTGAATACTAATACATTTATTTATTGTATCTTCTCTTACAATGAGACTAACAATAAGTTTTAAAATCTTCTCACTAAGTACATAATATTACAAATTTTTATTTTAACTATAACTATTAACTATTTTAACTATAAAATTAAATAAAATAAAATGTTTATTATTTTATAGGCTAATTGGTCAAAACTTTTTTATTATTGTTGTTAAAAATAAAAACAAAAATTAAGAATTCACAATTTGATTTTTCAATAATTTTTATTTTTCTTCGATATTTCGACTTTAGTCTAAAGTCATCATCAGGAAACTAAAAATTTTATAAAAAAATAAACACTTTAAAATTATTTGGTCACAAAATTATTAACATTTAAAATAAAATAAGTAAACCTTATATCACGAACCTCACTTACAACAATAGGTTAAATTTCATTGAAATGAATGTTAGGTGGTTTATTAAGAAAGCAGTTCAACTTTATCAGATTACTAAAATGAAAGCTGCGGTTTTTACTTCAAACTATTGAATATTAATTAATGGCAGGACGGTCAGCTCTTTTTAGGCGGGAAGTAGTAGATAGATGTGCGAGATGTCTTGCTAGGAGATTAACATGTTCTGTCAGCCTTTTATTGTATTTTTTCTTATATTGTCAAATTCAGTTTTAACTAGTGGAATTTGTAGATTTCGGTGAATACTTTCATTCCTTATATACCATGGGGCTCCAGTGATTGTTCTCAGTATTTTTGACTGAGCTCTTTGGATCATTTCAATATTTGAAGCACTAGCATTGCCAAATAGCTGGATACCATAAGTTCATATTGGTTTTGTGATGCTGTTATACAAGAGTACTTTATACTCTAGGCGTAGGGAAGTGCTGCTATTAATGAGCCAATGCAACTTAGAGGCTTGGAGCTTCATCCGAATTTTTTTGGCTTCAATATGTTTGCGCCAAGTTAGTCGTCTGTCTGTGTGAATATCTAGACCTAGGTACATTATATTATCTGTTTGTGGTATGGGAATGTTATTTAGTAAAATTGTTAGAGATTTACTCCGATTTAAGGTAAAAATGACGTGTCCACATTTTAGTTCATTAATTTTAATTTGCCATTTTGATAGCCATTTCTCCACCCGAAATAAGTGAGATTGAAGTTAGTTTGAAGCTAGCACAACGTTTTTGTTTCGACATAAAATTGCCGTATCATCAGCAAACGTTGTAGTGACTATTGAGCTACTTATTAGGATATTAGATGTGTAATGTAAATACAAGATAGGGGCAAGAACACTTCCTTGTGGAACACCAGCTTCTATTGGGAATTATTAGAAGTATATGATTTACATTTAAATTTAAAGTTTCTGTTATGCAGATACGATTCTAAAACTGAATGGACATTTGAAGGTAATGAATAGCGTATCTTATATAGGAGCCCATTATGCCATACTTTTTCAAAGGTTTGTTTAACATCGAGAAATACCGCGGAACAATATTCTCTGAGTTCAAATGCGTGTCTTATTTCGTTCGTTATACGATTCACTTGCTCAATAGTTCCATGATTTTCCTTAAAACCAAACTGGTGGGAGGGTATTAGGTTTTGACCGTCAAGGAATGGTTTCAGCTTTAAAAGCAGTGCTCTTTCAAAGAGTTTAGAAAGGCATGACAGTAAGCTTATTGGCCTGTATGAAGAGGCTAGCGTGGGATCTTTACCTGATTTATGAATCATAACAATCATAGATGTTTTCCACTCTGTTGGGTAAAAGCCAAATTTAGTAATGACATTAAAAAGTCTTGTGATAAAATACCATTACTTGAGATGGAAATATACTTCGGGTGTCCATTTGTAGTCTCAAATTTTCGACGGTGCGTTCAGTTAAGTAAATACGATCATTTTGAGAGTTTATGAATTGCTCTATGTGGGAATGTTATTCATCAGAGAACACAATGCTTGGAAATTCGCCACCTTCGAGCTTTACCTTGAGCTTATTTTAAAATATGCGTCGTATGCTTCACTGGAATATTTTCAGTTCTTTAGCGATTTGATTACCACTACTACGTGGATTTATTTCAAGCATTCACGTTCCGAACCATTTCAGGAGATTTTGCAATTTTTTTTAGTTCCCCACCAAAGCGTTTGACGACGCTGCCTCTGCTATTATAACGATTTATAGAACGATACACAAACATTTTATTCACTTTGAAGTGTTGAGGTGTTGAGCTCACAAACTTGTGGGAGCTTGTGAAGAATATAAATAGCCGACATCTATATGAATTCACATAGTTAGCAATATCAGTTTGACAGATATACCCGTGTGTAGTTAACTCACGCTTCAATCGCCTAACCCTGAATTATATTATAACAGAAAAAAGCTGAAACTAGTATGAATACTTAAGGTTTATAGTGTCGAGACGACTTAATTAATTTAGCTGCTTTAGTCAAAAATTTTCAATTGTAAAATTTTTTTTTTTGCATTTGCTAGAACATAATCGTCTAACGAAAATTTTGAAAGAAAAATTCAATTTTTCACACTTCCCTAAAATAGGAGTATTTGTGAATAAGCTAAACAACAACATTGTCAGTAGTCAATAAATTTTTTTCGTTCGAGCTCGGTTCGTATCTCATACAGAGATAAACTGTAGTAGAAATAAAAGGTTTTTCGTTTATGAAGAAGCAAAAACTGTAGGGTTACATTTAAAATTAGTATTAGTAGTCATAGCAGTCACCGCTAGTCATTGCACAAACCTTACTCACATATTATGAAATCAAATTCACGTTATAATATCTACTTTCGCATTTTAGCATGATCTACACAAAGCAACTGTATTCGTTTTACAGTTAAACGGAAGACATGTTTCGATCAAAACGCCGTTATGACGAGTTTGATCGTTGAAGTCGTGAAAATTAAACTGGTAACCAAGCTCATCCTGTAGGAACATAAGTAGACTCTATATTCATGTAAAAAACTGTTCAGATCGGTGTATAAAACGTGTCGTGGTGTAAAATCCATGAGTTTTCCTTTCATAAATCTGGCCTCTTTTTGCGAATGGCCTCACGCAAACGACGTATAACGGCCAAATAATACTCCTTATTGACCGTTTGACCGTCCGAAAGGAATTCATAGTGCACCACACCACGAATATCGAAGAAAACAATCAACATAACCTTGATTTTGAACCGACTTTGGCTTTCTCTTTTCAGTTTCGGTTTACCTTCAAAGCACCATTCGGTCGATTGTTGTTTGGTAGGCATGTCAAATTCATAGATAGATAGACCCATGTCTCATCACCAGTTATGATGCGTTCGATGAATGTGGAATGTGGGGTCACTATCTGCCACCACTCTTTGGCCACATCACAACAACCCTTTTTTTTAATTAAATTCAGCTTTTTTGCCACCAGCCTAGAAGCGACGCGTTTCAAACCCAAAACCTCAGTTAAAATGCGTTCGGCCGATTCATATGAGACTGCAATCTCTCTGTTTCGCCGATTCAATGTTTTCTTCAGTAAAAGATGTTGTTGGGCGGCCAGGGATCTCATCATGGTCCAAGCTTGTACGACCGTCTTTGAACCTTTTAAACCATTCGTATACTCGTGGTTGCGAAACACACAAATTACCAAAGGCCTTACTTAACATTTTCAACGTTATTCAACGTTTCGCTTGAAAATGTTAAACATGAATCCATTGGCAACACAAAATTTGATGCACGCACGTTGTTCTAATTTTTGATTCATTATAAAAACACGAAAATTTTTCGACTTCTTTGTATAGACGCCAAACAAAAACTAATCGTACGATATGCGTTAAACTTTGACAGAATGTGTATAATAGTGTTGCCAGCGTGAAAATAAAAAAAATTTACCGATTGGATAAGCGCGGTAATTCAAAAATTAAAATTCTCGTTCTTACAAAAATAAATGTGAGGAGAGATGAGAAAATAATTTCACATATGTTTTGTCATAGTCCAGTGTTGTCAGTAGTTTATAGTCCAGAATTATTAATATGTGAGGAACTCACTTCTTACAGTATTTTTTTATATCTCTATATTGAGACAGAATAAATAAAATTAAGATGATCATTTCTAAATTTAATAGAGTAATTTAACTATGTGTAATATATAAACAGAATATCTGAATAAAATGATTGTTGTTAAACAAAAGCTCAATTACAGTAAATCCAATCCAATAGTTTCAATTCAAAGAGAATGATTTATTTTAAAGCTTCTTTTAATTTAGCTTTGTTAGTATAATTGTGAACTTAAAATAAACTCTTATCTCAATTAAAAAATCATAGCTATTTCTCTAGTCTAGAAGTATAAGTAGCGAAACAAATTTAGTTAGTTTATTGAAAACGAGTCAAGAGGTTGAAGTAGCATTACTCTGTAATCATAAAATGCATATATTTTTAAATAATGAAAAAATGATTTTTGCTTTATTATTACTTGTAATTAACGAAGCTTATGTGTCGGAAAAAAAGCGCACATCGCTTGAGGCTTTAAGTAACTAACTTGACCTATGCACTATCTGTTTGTTAATCTAAACCAATTTGTTTGTAGAATGCAGACGGTATAAGGAAAGTGTGTTTAACCAGAAGGTGACCTTTCAACCATTGGTATATAAACCTAATTTAATCGCAGTGGAAGAGGATAGTTGTAAATCTTATGCACCTTTTATTGTTAATGGAACGCCAGCAATAGGTAAGGAATTTCCCCACATGGCTCGTTTGGGTTATGCCGAAAAAAACAAACCCACATCTTGGTTTTGCGGAGGCACTCTTGTGAGCAAAAAAATGGTTCTGACAGCAGCTCATTGTTTTGAGTTCGATTAGTGAGTGTGAAGAGTTTTTTATATAAAACAAAGTGCAATTACCTATTTTTTTAATCACTATAACATATATCCGATTTTATATATGAAATGTTTATATAAATTTCAGTGGTGATGTAAATCGCGTTCGGTTAGGTGAACTTGATTTTGATAAAACGAATGATGATGCCCAACCAGAAGATTTCAAGGTTGCTCGATATATAGCACATCCAGATTATGATGAGGATTCGGCCTTCAACGATATAGGTCTAGTTGAACTCGCTAAATTTGTTATTTTTAGCGAATATAAGCTTCCAGCCTGCTTGCCGATAACTAG